TGCTGTGTCGTCAGTAGTTTAGTTTTTTCATTTAAAGAATCATCGTTCGATTTATTGTAGGTAACAATTTGGTCCAAACAGGTGTCACTGGTGTCGTAGGTTGTTTCCATCTCCTCTTCTCCTCTAGTTTTCCTAATTGAGTAGACAAAAAAAAAAGAATGCATTAAATTTATTAAATTAAAATCCAACCTTACTTCTTTTAAGTAGATTAAGGGCGAAAACAAAGAATATATATTTTTTACAGTAAACTTTTTGTTAGTTAAAATTTTTAAAGTTCCAGCCTTAAAGCAGACAAAAGCCCACCTTTTTTGTATGTACATACATATACACATTTGCGCGCCCAAAAATGCGTATTTATGTATTCCGCAAAGCGCGGAGATATGTCGTTTCAAAACAACATAATTCCGGGGGGAGATATGACGTTTTAAAACGACAGTTAATCTCTCTGAACGCAAACTTAAATGGGTCTTCAGGCTTAAAAGAAAGATGAGTTTCTTCAAAGATAAGATCAGTCTCTTGAGAAAAATTCGAGTATTTAGTGAAAACATTTATTATTTTTTATCTTGTCTTAAATGTTTCAACGATTATTTCAATATTTGTTGATTTATTTATTAAAAAAATGCCTAAAATGTGCAGTTAAGAAAGATAACTGAGCGATGCGAATTGCTAGAAAAAGACTTCTGAATATTTTTTGAGACTTTATTTATTATTTAGTAGCGTCAAACGATAATATATTGCGAGCATAAAAGCAATTTAAAATCAGTCTAGCTGTTGAATAAAGTCCAATGGAAAAGCAGTTTATCATGAGTCACATATGCTTCCATTTTTTTTTTAATTTACAATTTTTCTTGTGGAAATGAGCAGTGCGCAAACTTGTACTCAACCCAAACTTTTAGATTAAAACCCCCTGTTTAACTCCTAAGCAATGATAATTATACTTGAACCGCTTTTAAGTGCAATCTAAAAAATCTCAAACTATTTTTGCGCACCCGTAAATTCCAGTCATTATCAATTTATGAGCATATTTATTTCTGCGCCTATATGCAGCGCAGAAAATATTTTTTAAGATCTTAGCACTTTGTAAATTTTGTTTTCAATAGTACATACAAAAGCATACCATGCTTTCAAACACTAAACACAAAAAAAAAATAAATAAAAATTATAAAAATCAGAAACTTAGATATATTTAATTATATATTTATATGTCTATAATTTATTACCAAATTTTTTAGTTTCCACCTTTTTTTAAATTTCAGCAAAGTCTGCAATCACTTGGCTTGACACAAAATTTCCTCAATTAAAACTATATAATCGATCATTTTACGACACCAAATTGGGTATTTTGGCCTGAGGAATGAGTAATATCGGTCTATTTCATAAGACTGTTAAAAAATAGCCACTTGACTTTTGTTATATGACCTAGCTTTAAATCGCATAAGGTAATAAGATAATAACCTAACATAATTCTTTTTTAGAGACATTGGAAGCCAGGAGGGTTAGTATCTTCTGACTGTCTCCTTGAGTTGAATTTGTTCATTGGGATCGTGTGGCAATTTAAATTTTGATATTAAACACAACACGTACGCCTTAAGTTCTATGATCTACAAACCAAGCAACATGCAGACGAATTAATTCTACAGACTTCACACATGATAAATTTCATGTTCCTGCCGTTGCTGGGCTATGCTAATGTAGGTGCAACATGCACACACCCAGACACCCAGAGCTACACAAATGCACACACATGTCGGCTCCTTTCTTAATTTTAAATGAAACAATGTGAAAGCGGAGACGTTGGCAATGCCGAGGCGACATGTCGTCGAAACGAAAATCAAATTTATGGTCTTAACAAGCGCTGTCAAAATTCGAGAATTGAGTGCCTCTGCCAGGGCAAAATCAGCGGGTCGGTTCAAAGGGGAGTCCTACAGCAGGGCAGGCAACCAAAAATGCATAGCTCCATCTGCTCCAGTTGCTGCTGCTGAAGCTGCTGCTCGACATTTGCATCTCGCATATAAATCGCATTAGGGGCACGCAATTACAGAGTTTCAAACATGGAGCTGCACGTGGTTTTGGCTAGGCACAGGCAGCTGTGCATCTTTTAAATTCCAGCACAACACGATTCCACGCTTAATTGAAGGTAAAATTATGCATATGTGTCTATGCTGTATGAGTGTGTGGGTGTGCTGGTGGTTATAGTGGAAGTCCCGAACACACGGATGACACAGATTTGCGGCCCTGACACAGCACTAAACAAGCATTGTCCCAGCTCCATTTGATTGCGATTTTTCCCCACTTGAGATAAGAGTCCAACTTCTTATCGCCATGCGAAAAACAAAAGTAAATACTTAAAAGCAGCTATCGTTAAATATGAACTTTAATTTACGCAATGCAATGTGCGAATTGTAAACACATCCAAGTCAGAAATCACAAAATATGTAGAGTATGGCGACAGGGGAGATTAATATCACATAAATAAAGAATAATACAGAGTAGAAGCCACCACTTTGGCGCTCAAATTAAAATGGGGCACTTATACATAATGTTGATCTTCGAAATATCCTTTTGGCTTAGGCCCGTGCGCTGTCCGATCTCGGCTGTTTCATCGAGCGGCACAATCGTGTCCTTGCCATTTATGGAGAAGGCGCCAGGACGATAGTGTAGGCAGCTGTTGTAGTCGTAGCCCATGTCGAAATCGGTGACCACGTTCGCGGAATACTTCATGAAGTTGAACTCCTTGCCAGGCACAATGTTTTCCTCAATGACTTCGATGAAGTCGTCACGTAGTGCCGAGCTCTGTTGATGGTAGAAGCCCAACGCATGCATAAGCTCGTGCAGTACGGTTCCGGGTCTAAAGCAGCCCTCTCCTATGGGATATATCTCCAGGTTCATTTGCTGCGGCTTGCCCTGATAGCCGACGGCTGTGTAGCAGCCACCGGAATCCGCTGTTATGCTCAAAAAGGCAACATCATTTTCATTGGCCTCCCTGAACTGCACGCAGGTCGTTTCCTCCAGTGTCTGAATACCTTGAAGAATGGCCTGCTTGTGGGCGGCATCAAAGTCATCGGATATTTTGTAAATAAGCAAACTGTCAGGCCAACGTTTGGTTGTATCAATTAGACCATTGCGACCCACTGAACCCTGCTGTAATGCCAGCTGCTGTGCCTCTGTCAGCTGCATGTCGCCTTCCACAAATCCAGCTGTTTCCTCAGGATCCGCGCTGGGACTCGAGGGCAATGGTACTGCTCCACACTGCAGTAATTGGATGGACAAAAATACAAGCACCACAGTTTGATATGAATGCATCTTGCTCGCGACGTTGCTAAGAATTGACTGACGCAGGTGCGTAGTTAACACTGGTCATAAATATGCGACACTCGCCAGTTGAGTCCGAAGATTAGATACAAGCAATTGATTGTGGTTAGATAATGCTATTGGACGCCTTTTAAAATAGGTTTAACTAAATTGTGTGGGTGACTGTTAGTATGATAGAGGGTGTCCCCTCGTGGATCAATCTCAAAAATACCGCAGCTGTTGCTAGGGGGCACATATCCTCAAAGATGAGTCGCAGTCTAGTCGAGGTATGGTTCTTTCTGGACTAAAGTATATGCAGACTACTTTGCTAGAGATCACCTAAAGATGATACCGTGGAAATACTATTACGGCTTATTCTTTTAAAGCATATTACAGGGCATCGCATAGTCGATATAGTATTTACAAATCCATAGTAGACTTTAAAAGTCGCTAAGTCGAAAGCCAACCTCGTTTTTCTCATTTATAAGTTCTAATATTCTTAGGCTTGGCATGATCATGCTTCATATGGCGCCAACTCATCATTTTAAGTACAAAGATCGAATGGTTGTCAAATTCCCATTTACACTTTGGTCTCAAAGGTCTACAGAGCATACGTCATATGTCAAATGACATTATCATAGCTTTATGGCTTAATTGAAATGCTATCATTATAATCAATGATGTGATTGGATTCTCAAGTGCTCAACGAGCTATACACAAATTATGTTCGACTTCCCGAACACTACAGAGGATGAGTAATTGCCACCTAAACTTTGGCGATAAGTTACAGATACGAAAACACGAGTAATAGCTCTACTAAACAAGTTTTCGGACTTGGATGGCACTTATCGTCAAATTTACAAGGTAAGAGGGAGAGAGAGCGAAAGATAGACAGAGAGAGCGACAGAGAATCAGCTGGAACTCGTTTAAGGCTCTTGGAGTAATTTTTGTTATCGAACGAAAGCCGGCGACATTATAAGAAATGACGGCATGTGTCGCTACAGAAATAGATTAAGCACCGCAAAGTGCTATGTCAGTATTTGGTATTATCTGCATTAATTCTAGCCAGTTTTAGCAGACAATGACAAATTCGCACTCCAGTGAGGGGAACTTGAACAGGATGGGAGGCTCTCTAGACGATATCTCAAGGCGATTGTCAAATTATCAAAACATAAAGTATGTAATTTGACGGCATTTAGAAATGTCTTTAAATTTTTTATAGTACCCGTTAAGGTGGTATTATAATGCTGTCATATGCAAACTTGTGTCTTTCGCTTTGTCAGATAGAAAAGTTCGATCGGAAATGAAATGCAGAAATTAACAATTTGGCCAAGGATTCTGTTTACCAAGATATCTTACCAAAATAAAAGTTTCACAATTCTCCTCACATATCTGCAAGACCATAAGCAACGCAATTTGTAGAGTATTTAATTTTTGGCGTGCCAGAGATTGCCGTACTTGTATTTTGTGTTGAAATGAAACACCCTGTAGACACCTGAGAAAAAGCGAGTAAGTCATAAGTAGTTAGTTGCGTTCTTTTAGGAGCGATTATATTTGCTAAATTGTACAGATATATTTGCAAAGAACTCAGGAAATGACGGAATTCTTGCAATTAGTCTTTGAAATACCTGTAATTAACTAATAAATACTGGTTTCAAATACTGAATATGCTTGCTCGCTGATATCCACGCATTTCTATGGTCTCGAAGTATTTGAAGTATTGCTTTTAATATTTCATAGAGGAGGAAATGCCGTCTCCTATTTAAGGGAACCTTTTTTTCATTTACCTTTGATGGGTTATCAGCCACAATGCATATTCTAACATTTTAAACATTAATCGGACACTTGTACATAGTATTCAATTTGTTAATATCCGCTTCACTCATTTGCAGTCGCTGTCCCATTCGCTTTTCGGCACCCTCTTCCAATGGCACAATGGTCATTTCACCGTTTTTGGAAAAGCCATAGGGTGTGTAGTGCAGCACGCTACCGTAGTCATAGGTCTGGTCAAAGTTATCAACCCTATTCTCGTCATATTTCTGAAAGTTGTGCTCCTTGCCTTCCTGAATATTTTCCAAGACTATTCGAACATAATCATCACGATCTGAAGAGCTTTGTTGATGATAAAGGCCCAGGGCGTGTAGCATCTCGTGCATAATTGTGCCCATGCGGTAACAGCCCGTATCCAAGGGATAGTCTTGCAAATTCATTTGTTGAACTCGGTTTTGGAAGCCGACAGCTGTGAAGCAGCCGCCTGGTTCCGAGGTTATGTTAACATAATAGTTCTGATCCTTCGAAGCCTCCTTAAATATTAGGCAGGAGCTTAGCTCGATTTTACGAAGGCTGATAAGTATGTGATTGCGATGTTCCTGATCTGTTTTTATATAAATTTAATATCAAGAGCTGCGGCAATAATACTATGCAACCTACCAATATTGTTGTTGATGTAGTAATAAACTATGCGATCTGGCCAGCGATAGTTCTCATCGCGTAGTCCATTTCTCTGCTCGGGGCTGAACACCATGTCACCTTCGATATAACCAGCTGTCAGCTCTGGATCGACTTCCGTGCGAGCTGCTGGTGCTCCCACAACATTATTTATCAGCAGAAGGATAAAACCGACTATTAATGACTGTCTCATGTTCTTCGTTTAACGGACTACTGTGGACTGGGAGCGTGTATCGCTGACTCAATTCGATTGCGATGTCCACTGTTTACTTGTGAATTCAATAACCAACTAATTTATCTTTATAGCAGATATTATTGCAGTTCTTTATTTACAACGTGTATTTATTAACCGCAAACTGTGAATTGGAGCTAGATCTTATCTTATCGTCGAATCAAGCGAACCCTCAATTCGATTAGGACTAGTAGTAGGCTCTATTAACAAGTTCGGGATTGACGTTTATTTGAGCTGGTCAATTTATTCATATATTTTCCCCTTAACTAGACACACCGAACACTCGGAAATGAAACATCTTTTTGTCAGTTCAGCATATGTAATAAGGATACGTGTCAAACGTTCCTTGGACACTTGTACATAGTATTTAACTTGTTGATGTCCGCTTCACTCATTTGCAGTCGCTGCCCCATTATCTCCTCCGCGCCTTCCACCAAAGGCACAATGGTCATTTCTCCATTCTTTGAGAATGCATAGGGCGTGTAGTGCATTACGCTGCCATAGTCATAGTCCTCGCCGTAATTGTCCACCGTCTCATTGTCGTATTTGTTGAAGTTGTGCTCCATGCCCTCTGTGATATTCTCCTCGGCAATGCGAACGTAGTCATCACGGTTCCATGTGCTCTGCTGATGATAAAAACCCAAGGCGTGCAGGAACTCATGCACAATAGTGCCCAGCCGGAAGCAGCCTTCGTTCAGTGCATAGTTCTGCAGATTAAGCTGTTGGATCGCGTTCCTGTGGCCCACGTATGAGTAGCACCCGCCGGCTTCCGAGGTGACATTCACATAGTAGGGCTGATCGCTTGTGGCTTCCTTAAAGATTAGGCACGAATTCGCCTCGAGGATGCGTATGCCACGAATAATGTGATTGCGATGTTCCTGATCTACGGCGGATACAATAAGGTTTGCATATACTCAATTTTATAAGTAAAGTATCATGTCTCACCAATGTAGCTATTGATGAAGTAATAGACAATTCGATTGGGCCAGCGATAAGTTTCATTGATCAAACCATTCCTCTCCTGGCTCTCCAGAATCATGTCACCTTCGGTATAGCCCGCAGTTAGTTCCGGATCGATTTCCACACGTCCTGCAGGCGCTGCTAGGCATATCTTTGCTGACACAAGGAGCAGTAAGATTCTGGGTAAGCCCATCATGCTGACAACTGGATGGATTGGCTGCGACTGGTGCGCCATATCAATTCCGAATATCGTCAAAGTGGGTTTAGAGCATCGTGAATAGCACCTTATTTACGACCTTAAGTAATTTTATATTTATAACTAGTATTTACAGCTTGGGAAATTAACCGGCATTAGGCTTTAGATCTTATCTAATCGTTGCAATATTGGCAAACTGTTGGTCATGGGTTCAAAGATGTTTTGAAAATATTATTTCTCTTAGACTTCAAAAATGTTCCTGAGAAAAAAAGAGCTACTTAATTCATTCTGCCGATTACAGTACATGATTGTTTTTGTTTTCATCAATAGAATTGGGCATATAAAATACATCTTATTGGCATACACAACAAATGTATCTTATGCATTCTATAAAAGCTTACACCCCTTTATCTAATCTATTCGCTTGCCAAGTTTGCCAAGTTACAAATACAATGCGAGACCCATAGACTACTTTTTATCTATATCATGAGGGGCTATCAATGCATGGTCCGCGCTTAGCTATTATTTCAAATTCAATTCATAATTCGATTCTACTTTTCATTTAATTTGTATACCCTTGTAAACTGGAACAAAATGCTTAGATGTAGATAAACTAAATACTTTTTTTTTTTTAAATTATGAATTAAATTATTGAATTATATTATGAACCTCACTGTTCTATTTTTATACCCTGAGCCCATTAAAAATGGGTTTAAGGGTATATTGTAATTGTGCGAAATCCAAATGTATGTAACAGGCAGAAGGAAGCATCTCCGACCCCATAAAGTATATATATTCGTGATCAGCATCAATAGCCGAGTTGATCTAGCCATGTCCGTCTGTCCGTCCGTCCGTCCGTATGTATGAACGCAAGGATCTCGGAACCTATTAGAGCTAGGTGCTTTTAGTGCCTGCTCAGATCGAGTTTGTTTCCGATAATCGATAACTTACCCCGTTTCCAAGCAATCGATAAAAATCAATATCGACATCCTGTTTTTTTGAGCAAATTGGGTAAATAATAAGAGCTAGAGCCACCAAACATGATATGTTGCTTTTAGAATATTATAGATATATCAAGTATCTTTCATTTTATACCTATCGCCAGCTCCCTGCTACCACCCAACAGCTATAAATCAAGTTAATAACCCAAGTTTTGTTGCCAACCAATTGAAGACACAATTTAAAAGCAAATTACTTTTCAGAATACACAAATATTCTATGGTAAAATAAGATAAACTGTAGAAAATTTCATAAGGATCGGTTAAGAAAAAACCTAAGTTATATGCAACTGTGCAATTGAATGGGGCAGCAGCTTTAAGAATTTCTGTATACATGTACACACACACAAATTTTTTTTCTGTTATGCTATTTAAGTTCCTTTTTTATCATAAGTGCTTAATTCAAAATTTTGACCCAATCTCCGCGCGGAGCTACGTCGTTTTGGAACGTCATATCTCCGCGCGGAGCTATGTCGTTTTGGAACGTCATATCTCCACGCGGAGCTATGTCGTTTTGGAACGTCATATCTCCGCGCGGAGCTATGTCGTTTTGGAACGTCATATCTCCGCGCGGAGCTATGTCGTTTTGGAACGTCATATCTCCGCGCGGAGCTATGTCGTTTTGGAACGTCATATCTCCGCACGGAGCTATGTCATTTTGGAACGTCATATCTCTGCGCTGAGCTATGTCGTTTTGGAACGTGATATCGCCGCGCGGAGCTATTACCCGAGATATTAAAAAAAATCATCGAAAAAGTTTCGATTTTCGCACCGACCTCGATTTTGAACAAAACGTGATATAACCCCTTGCCATTTTATCGATTTGGGTCAAAATTTTGGATTTCCTTTTTTTTGATGCCAATCGACAGAACTGATCCTTACGAGTCAAAAATGGTATAAAATTCCAAAATCGGACATTATTTGACGGAAATATTCCAAAAAATCATCAAAAAGGTTACGAACGAATCGGTTTTTTGTCTACATTTTTTTAACAAAACGATATTTAATTTGCTTGAATGCTAATTGATGGTAGGGATCCGTACGGATTCAAAAAGGTATAACATTTTAAAATCAGACATTATTTACCCGACATATTAAAAAAAAATCATCGAAAAATTTTCGATTTTCGCACCGACCTCGATTTTGAAAAAATCATATCACAGCAGGGAGTTCTGTCGTTTTGGAACGTCATAACTCCAGCAGGGAGCTCTGTCGTTTTGGAACGTCATATCTCCACGCGGAGCTATTACCCGAGATATTAAAAAAAAATCATCGAAAAAATTTCGATTTTCGCACCGACCTTGATTTTGAAAAAATGATATCTCAGCAGGGAGTTCTGTCGTTTTGGAACGTCATATCTCCAGCAGGGAGTTCTATCGTTTTGGAACGTCATATCTCCAGCAGGGAGTTCTGTCGTTTTGGATCGTCATATCTCCGCGCGGAGCTATGTCGTTTTGGATCGTCATATCTCCGCGCGGAGCTATGTCGTTTTGGAACGTCATATCTCCACGCGGAGCTATGTCGTTTTGGAACGTCATATCTCCGCGCGGAGCTATGTCGTTTTGGAACGTCATATCTCCGCGCGGAGCTATGTCGTTTTGGAACGTCATATCTCCGCGCGGAGCTACGTCGTTTTGGAACGTCATATCTCCGCGCGAAGCTATGTCATTTTGGAACGTCATATCTCCGCGCGGAGCTATGTCGTTTTGGAACGTCATATCTCCGCGCGGAGCTACGTCGTTTTGGAACGTCATATCTCCAGCAGGGAGTTCTGTCGTTTTGGAACGTCATATCTCCAGCAGGGAGTTCTGTCGTTTTGGATCGTCATATCTCCGCGCGGAGCCATGTCGTTTTGGAACGTCATATCTCCGCGCGGAGCTATGTCGTTTTGGAAAGTCATATCTCCACGCGGAGCTATGTCGTTTTAGAACGTCATATCTCCAGCAGGGAGTTCTGTCGTTTTGGAACGTCATTTCTCCAGCAGGCAGTTCTGTCGTTTTGGAACGTCATATCTCCGCGCGGAGCTATGTCGTTTTGGAACGTCATATCTGCACGCGGAGCTATGTCGTTTTGGAACGTCATATCTCCGCGCGGAGCTATGTCGTTTTGGAACGTCATATCTCCGCGCGGAGCTATGTCGTTTTGGAACGTCATATCTCCGCGCGGAGCTATGTCGTTTTGGAACGTCATATCTCCGCGCGGAGCTATGTTGTTTTGGAACGTGATATCTCCGCGCGGAGCTATGTTGTTTTGGAAAGTAATATCTCCACGCGGAGCTATGTCGTTTTAGAACGTCATATCTCCAGCAGGGAGCTCTGTCGTTTTGGAACGTCATATCTCCAGCAGGGAGTTCTGTCGTTTTGGAACGTCATATCTCCGCGCGGAGCTATGTCGTTTTGGAAAGTCATATCTCCACGCGGAGCTATGTCGTTTTAGAACGTCATATCTCCAGCAGGCAGTTCTGTCGTTTTGGAACGTCATATCTCCGCGCGGAGCTATGTCGTTTTGGAACGTCATATCTCCACGCGGAGCTATGTCGTTTTGGAACGTCATATCTCCGCGCGGAGCTATGTCATTTTGGAACGTCATATCTCTGCGCGGAGCTATGTCGTTTTGGAACGTGATATCTCCGCGCGGAGCTATTACCCGAGATATTAAAAAAAATCATCGAAATAGTTTGGATTTCGCACCGACCTCGATTTTGAAAAAAACGTGATGTAACCCCTTGCCGTTTTGTCGATTTGGGTCAAAATTTTGGATTTCCTTTTTTTTGATGCCAATCGACAGAACTGATCCTTACGAGTCAAAAATGGTATATAATTCCAAAATCGGACATTATTTGA